TTCATATAATCATATAATCATCCTATTATTACTACTATTATTGTAAGTACTTGTTTATATCCATGTCCATATATACATATTTATATAGATATATATATATATATGTGTGTGTGTGTTTATATATAAATATATGTGTATGTGTGTTTGTGTGTGTACGTGTTTGTATATGCATAGATATAATATGTATAAAAGTATATTTATATTTATATATATATATAAACAAGTGTGTGTATACGTTTTGTATTGTCTTTATATGTATATATCCTGAAGCATATTTGTACACATATATATATATATAAATGTGTGTTTGTGTGTGTTTGTGTACACACCCGTGTGCGTGTCGGTGTGTTTATGTATATATATATATGTATATGTATATACTGTGTTTAGAAAATATACTCTTACTTTTCTCTGTGTGCACAGAATATCCATAGCCTCATATCTATCGTTTTTATGGTTGCAGATCACCATCGCGGACATTGCCATGCGTGAGATTATAGGTTGGTTTAAGGACGACATGCTCGAAGATATCCCAGTCGACTTCTTCGACACTTACCCCAATTTGACCCAGATGTATAAGAATGTGACAGAAGATCCTAAGCTCAAGAGTTACTTCGAAAAGATAAATTAACTGGACTATGGAATGGTGAGAATAATCACCTATTTGAGCGCCTTGTCGTCAACACGTGAACGCCCTGTGGAGTCGTGTGATATTTTTCAACTTTCGTAAGTAAAGAATTGTTAATAGCTTATTCTGCAAAGAAAGGTTTTTATTTATTTATTGCAATCATTGCGTATGAATGGTAAATAATTTGGTCTCCTGGCATTATAAGAATACATATATGTAGTTTGGGATGTAGTGACAAGTTGCTAATGAAACTTTTTACAAAGCACGAGACAATGTCGATCCCCAGCCAACCGAAGTATACCAAGGGGAAGCTAATATCCAAGATACTAGGCAATAATACACAAGTTTAAGTAGTCCTTCATACGGCATGCGGCAGAAAATGAAATGCGACTGCTTTTTTAAAAAGAAACAACAAGATGAGACCGGTGAGGTGCTGGAACAACAGGATGCAAACATCGATGCCGGGGCTAGAGAGGAAGAAGCGCAATCGACGTAAAGTCTTTGTTTTCGCAGAAATGAATTTTAATATTCATACAATAGAAACGATCCAGGGACCCAATTGTTGAAAAATCGAATAAACAATTTAGTTGTTTTCAGGCTATCATATTAAAGTTAAAAGTTGTAACATATTTTTGTAAAAAGAAAGGACAGTTAAAAGTTGTAACTTAATTTTGTATAAAAAAGGACACCTTTTTTACCTATATAAGCCATTCTCAAATTCAGCGGGTGCAATATTCAGGTCAGTGAGTATATTTAATTTGTCCTGTTTTTAGGTGCCAACTACAAAATGCTAATTACCAAGTGTCAAGCTGAACATTTCTGAATTCTGATTGACCAAAATTCATTTTAGCCCCAAATTTCGAAACTTATAGGGCAGCTTTTCAAATGCATATTTATAACTTTTATATTTCAAAAGTAACAGTTAAAGGTTTAACATTTTTATTTACAGTGACCCCATAACTTTATGAGGCTAGTTTTCAGGTCTCTAATTTAAAATTAAAAAATAGAAATCTATTTTCGAATGAGTGAATAGAATTGGGAGTATTAAATCCGCTACTCCCGATTATTTCGGCATTTCTATGATTCATACATATTTATGAACATATTTATCTTTCGAACTATTCCCGAGTATTTTAGCGCGCTTTGTAGATTTTTGAAATATTGGCCATGATTGTCTATAATCAAATTCGGGTTGTTTGCAATGCATAATTAGTAAATTACTGCACATAGTCTTCTAAATTGTATGTTATTTGACTGTTTCTAGTCTAAAGAAGGCTTTCAGAACTTTCACACCGGTCGAAATAATTTCGGGACTAGAGCCAATAAAATCGTAAGAAATATATTCAAATTGTTTACACCGGCGCATATGGCAATTTTGTGTTTTTTTTATGTTTCATTTGTTTTTGGTTTTTTAAAAACAAAACAAAAGAGAAAAAAAAGGCTATGCTGTATAATTATAAGTAATATGTAAATAAATACTCTGAGTATATATGTGATTATTTTTTTTAATTGTATGTACGTAGATATATCATCATCGGGACTTTCGGGACTTCGGCCTTCGCGGCTGCGCCGCTAGGGGGGTAAATAAAAAAAATAAAAAAATATGCTGCTTTGCAGCCATTGCAATGTGCACGCCACTTCGGAATATCGGATTTTACGAATGGCCACGGGAACCTATTTATTTATTTATAGAAAAACAAAAGCTAATACATATTTAGCCAGCCTATGTAGCAATATTCATAGCCTCCTCGAGAAATTGTACAAATATTTATTTCCTGTTTTTTTTTAGATTGTGTGACCTCAGTGTCGCCGTGTTCCCTCTGGGCCCTGGGCCCTGAGGGTCTGAGGCTAATAATTTTGTTTTGTATTTTATTGAAAAAAATGATAAGGGTTTTTTTTATGTTTTTAAAATAAACAATACAAACAACAACATAGCTTTCTAAATAAATTATAAATTCAACAACGATAAAAAATCAGAAAATTCGCATGTAACAGGGGGACAAACTATTTAGTATAAACAGAGTACTGATTGCTAATTTGAACACAACTCGCAATATATTTTCAGCAGGATACAACAGAATGTCGAGCAATATAAAACTAACATATTTTGATTTCAAGGGTCGCGGTGAACCCATCCGTGTCGCCTTCGCTTATGGTGACGTGCTTTATGTTGACAACCGGATCCAATACAAGGACTGGCCTAGCGTCAAAGCAACCACGCCCTTAGGACAATTACCAATTCTCGAAGTGGACGGTAAGGTATACACTCAGGGATTTGCTATTCTGAGATATGCGGGCAAGAAAGCCGGCTTATATCCTAGTGATGAACTGGAAGCTTTGCGCGTAGACGAGGCATTGCAGGTCATCGAAGAATCATTTAACGCAAAGATAGGCCAGAGTATGGGTATTCAGGACGCCGAAGAGAAGAAGGCTTTCCGTTCGAAACTGGTGACTGAAGTTTTACCACCTTATGCGGCAAAGCTGGATGAGTACTGCGACGGCGGCTACTTCGGCAACAGCGTATGTTTACTATCCTTAATTTTTGTATCTTTGTTCTTGGCTCATGTATGAATGTATATAAGCTGCTGCTCGTGGGTAGCGGTAGGGCTGCCTATTCTCTATGTAGTGGTCAAAATCATAGCTTGCACGTGTGTTTGATTGAAGGAACACGATAATGTATGCTTTTTGGTCACATATATCTGCAGTCTGCATAGCCGCAGCAGTCATAACAATAGTTACGCAACGTTTGTCCGTGCATTAATCTTCATTCGCACTTGTGTCTATTTTCATTTTTTTTTTGATCAAATCATTTGGTATTGCTATATCCAGTTCCTTTTTTAAAAAGTAACTATATATTTACAAGCCTTGGGAGTTTATATTTATACATATTATAATTATGTATTTGGTTATATATTAATATATATATATGTTTATGCATATATGTATATATTTGGTCGTTTAGAAAAAATGTCTATACTTTTTTCTGAATGTCCAGAATATAAACGCTGACATACATCGTTTGTATCGCTGCAGATCTCTATCGCGGACATTGCCATGAATGAGATTATCGTGTGGATCAAGTCAGGCATGCTCGAGGATATCCCTGCCGACTTCTTTGATGCGTACCCGAACTTAACCCAGATGTACAAGAATGTTACGGAAGATTCTAAGCTCAAAAGTTACTTCGAGAACAGAAAATAAACATATTTTGGAATGCTGGGAATATCCACCTTGTTTGAGTATGCTGTCGTCAACACGCCATCACCCTATAGCGTAGTTTATTCTTTTAACATATGTATCAGACAAGTTTTCACAACACCTGCTTTTTCATTTATTTGTTTTGCAATGGTGGCATATGCATGGTAATCTAGTAGAGCAACGAGTGCTCTTAGGCCTTATATGACCAATATATGTATATAAATCGGGTAAAAGTTGTCAACTGATAGAACAACGATAAAGGGTGCTGCAGTGCACGAGATAATTGCATTTCAATTCGAAGATTTTTAAACACCACCGGTATACCAGGATATTTTTCAGTTTAAAGCACGAAGTGTGATAATTCCAGACTGTATACAATGATATAATGCTTATTACAGTGACCACTTTTATCGAAGTCTTTACCGAAAGGCATGCTACAGTTAGTAGGAGCCCGGTTCCCACTGCCTAATTCGTCGAGCACAAGTGCGTGCTGTACCATAGCATCCCTATAGCTGCTCTCTGTTCCTGAACAGTGCCTCTGGACTCCCAGGAGACAGGGTATATATCTACTGTTCAATAGCACCAGCCACCAACCATTACACTAGAGTTGCAATTCGCAGAGAGACCACATCAAATAAGCCAACCCTGTCAAAATTAACCTCGCGTTGAGACGCGGGCAGTCCACATAGATATTAACTCTGCTTCTTGTTATTTGAAGCCCTGTTCTGTAAACCCTTTGGTGGCGAACGCTTGCCGGACTTTGGCATCAGGCAATAAACAGTGATAGCTCCGAATACCCAACCTATGCCAAAAATGAACATCCAAGCGGCAGGAGAGGCTTTCCAAAAGTTCTGTATAGATGATATGAGTTCGAACCTTGATTGGTAAACATATATTAAAGGGCCGGTACGCATACAAGAAAAGAATACGAAGACAGCATGACGATTAATATACTGCACTCGGAAAACCGACTCTCTTCGTCACTACGTTACAGAGGCAGAAACCTGCAAATCCACCCATGCATCGATGTATCTGAGGGGGTAAGGCATTTACACTACCGTTGTCAATCAATACAAAAATATACTACAATTAACACTATCCTAGCGATGAACGAAGATTACGCGTACACTACAGAGCTTCATGTAGATACGTATCCGACATACATTGACATTCACGGGAATTTGCGTAACAGGCTCCATGATTTTGTCGAAGACCGATGGTTCGGTAGGCACAGGCGAGCCCTCTCCCTCCTTGTAACCACCCGTGGCAAATGCTGTCATCTCCGCAATCTCACGTTTGTTGGTGTACTCGTAAGCTTGGCCTGCAGCGAGCCTTCACATAAAGAAAAAATTCGGAAGGATACGTAAGCTGATTTTACTCCAGTATAGATGTACTTCGAAATTGGACGATCCAGCCTTTCCGGACGACCTAAAATAAAAGCTCCATAAAATCATAATGAAGTGAGATATAGGCCGCGGATAGACGTCATCGCTGGAACACACCGCAACTGGTAAGTGATCAACTCAAGCAGCTGAACACACATTATATTGCATCAATATTCTGTAATTGAGTGGGCATAAATATGCCATCAACTCATACTCGTCAAATCTGAATATTCTGATAATGACCAACAATAGCTGAGAGAACCACCGACAAAAACTTACATCTTCAAGTTGGGGAAGCCGGTGACGCCAAATCTTTTGCACGTATCTGTTTTGAATCATTCAATGAGATGAGAAGACAGGGAATGATCTAAATCGATATCCAAATAAAAAGATACCAGGTACATACTCGTATACGCGAGCTGGTGAAAACATGCAGACCATGGTGAGTAAGAGGTGGAAACGTAGAGATTGCAACAAACAATCGAAGCAAATAGTTAGACTTACCTATGCCTTCGCCGACGCAGTCCACACTGGCAATATTGATATTTCCGGCAAGTCTGTGGATTAGACATGCCAATAACATCGATATTAATATAGTAGGCTGAAGTTGATTCAACTGTAATGATTGCTATTGACCTCAGTCAGCTTGCTGTCGACAGACTTGACACAGAAATGAAAATAACGATTGAAGCACATTTCGACCGTGATACATTCTAAGAAGTTGAAATATCAGAACGGATCGAGATTTTTGACCCCCAGGCTGTCAGTTTAGTGTATTGTCATACTAATGCCAGACAAGTGAGAGATGGCAGCCTACCCGTGCATATACTGAACAACGACTCGCGCTCTTTGCAATGGAACAATCAAACGATATGAATTGTAATACATTCGCGTTGACGAGTCTTTCGGTAACAGTGGATACAATTGAAACAATGAAAATACGCACACATCCTTCTGTAAAGTCTTTTACGTGTTGATACTTACTGGTCCGCCATAGTCTCCCAATCCGGTGCCATTTTCTTACAGTGCCCACACCTGACAAGTAGAGAGACACGGAAACAAAAAATGTTATATATATATATATATGTATGTATATAGCTGTTGCAAATATATATACATATACATATATATATATATGGATATGTATATGTATATGTAAATGTATATATATATATATATATATGTGTATATATATAAATATTAATTTTATGTGTACATATATATATATATATAATAATA